CTTCGGTGCGGTAGCGCGGGCCTGGCCTCCCCGCGGCCTAGCGCCGGGCCTAACCCCCTGCCCCTCAGCCCTCCGCGGGCCGGGCCAGGGGGCTCCGGGGCCGCCGCCTGAGCCCGGCGATAGCGCGGCCCTCGCTGTCTCTTTTCAGGGGAGTGCAGCGCCTTCAAGGAGCGGTTCATGGAGTGCCTCCGCGACAGCGGCTACGAGAGCGGTGCCTGCCGGCAGCGCGCCATGGCCTACCTGGAGTGCCGCATGGAGAGGCGAGTGGTACCCGGGGCCCACCACGGCCTGGCCCGGCGGCGGGGGACTGAGCGGCCCCCGGGGCTGGGGAGCCGCGGGGGTCCCTTGGCGGGGAGGGGAAGGGAACCCGCAGTGGACGCGTTCGTGCAGGAAGCTCGTATCCGTGTAAGCCGCAGGTGTCCTTTGTGGCTTTAGCAATTTACTTGGTTTATGTTTTTGATGTCGTGTAGATAGCCAGCCCGAAGGGCGGGATAAGTGCGAGACTAGGCCAGCTTCCACTGTGCACAACCGTCTTTGTTAGTGTGAAGCTTTATTTTTTTCCTAGCTATGGTTACAAGTTAAAAGTTTAACTTGTTCCCCTGTTTAAGTGAAAAAACTGTTGGTGGTTGGTTTTCTAGGGATGTTTCCATTCATGCATTTCTTTGTAATGCTTTCCGTTCAGCGGCGAGTCAGGGAGCTCATTGGGAAATGCACAAAGGGCGTTATTAAGTGCACGTAAATACAAGGACGCTTGTATGCACCGCATGGGCTGGTGGTGAGGAAGGCTGCAAATCAAAAACCATTTGAAAATCATGACAGCAAACTATAGTGGCACTACGAATGCACTTAAAAATTTGATAAATGGCACGGGTAGAATTTTAGGAAGCTCTTACGCACTCTGTTAATTAAAGATAACCAAGAGTTGGGTCAGTTTCTGAGGGAACTGTTATTCAATATTTAATATCAGGAAACAATGCATTTAATTTGAAAACTGCTGTTAAGAAAAAAAGTATCCCTGAATATTGCTTGCCCAAAACTGAAGTTTCTGGGGCTCTGCCAAGTGGTAGTCACTCTGTATGAACGTCTTGGATTTCTTTAGAGTAAATAATACAAAATGACGTGGGAAATGTTGCTATTCTCTTGGTCATAGACTGTGCTATACAAAACGTTTTTGTTTTGTTTTTAATTTAGGCAACTTATGGCTAACGAACCACTGGAAAAATTGGGATTTAAAGACCTGATAGATGAGAAATCAGAAGCAAAACCTGAAAAGTTGTAACGAAGACAGACAACTTTGCTCCTCATGTATGGAAAGCATAACTCTTAATGTAGTACATATTGTACGTTCTGTTTGTATTGCAATAGGAAGTGTTTCTTGAAGAAACCTTTTTTCCAAGGTTTAATTTTCCTAAAATAAGATTTTTTTTTTTTTAAATGAGCGAAAGTACTGCCTTTGTCTACTTTCCCTAAATATTTTTTCCTTTTAATTTCTCTAACCTACTTTTAAAGATCCATAAGAACCTGGAGAAAACAATTATTGCCTGAAATAGTCTCTGTAAGAATACCGAAGTCTTATTTTAGAAAGGCAATCCCCCCGCTTTATTGTGTAGATATTGAACTACAGATTAATTTTGTGTGGGCATTACTAATATGCTTACAGCAGTTACTTGTCAGGTGGAAATAAAGCTGTTGTGGTACGTGCAAATTGCTTTTTATTAAATACTGGTATTAATCCCCATTTTAGGGATGATCTTCTCACTCTGCTATAGAAAACACTTGGGTACCGGGGTTGGGCAAGTATTTTTAGTTCCAGACACCAATCAGGTAGTGATTCTGCTTTTATTTATCATGCCAGCAGTGTTTGCCTAACTATTTCATCATTTAACTGGGAATCTATCATTATGAATATATTAATTTCTGCAAGTAGAGCTGCCATATGTTTTTTAGTATCTTTATAGTGAAATTGGCATGGAGACAGGAAAGGTATTTGTGTTCTAAGTAACAGTAAAATGTACATATAAATGTGATTGGACAGTTTTTTAAAAACAAATGTTTTATGTTAAAAGCCAGGGTAGATCAAGAGTTTGCTATCTCAGAAATACAGTATTTCTTTCCAGAACACGAAGCTGTGGCCCGTACATTGCAAAGATAATGTGGGGGGCTGTACAGGAGGTGAGCAATCGGGGCTGAGTATGTTTTTAAGCTCCCTGATAGGTGTTTGTGTAACTTAACTATGAATTATCAGAGCCAGTGGTATTTCTTTTGCATATACTAATGCAAATGAGTCTTCTATTTTGACTTGAACTGAGTATTAATTAATTTAGCCTATTTAGCCACATAAGAATATGTTTGAAGCAGGCAGTAAATTTGTAAATCTGCTGGATGTATTTTCCACTGTATTTCCTGCCCTGTCCTCCCTGCTGCTTTTTCTTCTTTTTTTAACCCAGTGAATCATTTTTCTGTGTATCTGGCTCTCGGACAGCAAGCTTTAGGGTCAGGGGCTGCAGATAGTGATACACACAGTTTGCCAAGGCAGTTCTCCGACACTTTCTCCTTTATTTTGTGTCCTCTGTTTGATACATCTCACCTCTCCTGCTGTCTGCTATTATTCCTTTTGCTTCTGCTTCTTTCCACTGTGCATCTGTTCACACAGAGATCCAGGAAAGGGTAAAAGAACGTTTTCTGCTCTTTATATTGCTGGTCGGAGCTGGTATTTAAATTGTCGCTCGGGTCTAATCTGATTGAACAGACTGCACATAGTTCAGAGCGGGTTCCTGTTTGAAAAGAATGTTCGCTTGCTGCTGCATATTTTTATTCTACTTCATTCTACTGTTTAAATTATATCCTTTGGTGAGATTAGTACATTTATAGAAAAGAAAGCAGAGATTTTATTGCTGAAACAGATATTAAAAGACTTTATATTAAACCACTGAACAAGAGCTTTCTTTCAGTGATACCAAGTAAGAATTATTAAAATAATCTCCAGCATCTTCAGAAGAAAGAAATCAAATTTCATGCTTCTGTGCTCCCTGAAAATTATAAGTTGCAGTGAGTCCCTGGTAGGTATGAAAGAACCCACCAGTGGTAGTGGAGTAATCTGAGCTGCTATCAGTGGTGGTTTCATCTTTTGGATGTTACTCTGCACTGTTGTTTGGCCAAAGAGTTCCTTCATGAGTTAGATGCATGTTTTTCCCGAGATAATTGTTACTGACTCTGTCCTCCAGGTTATTACAGAGTAAAAGGGGTGAAGTTTTTGAAGTCTTGAGTGACTGAATGTTGACTGTTGGTGTGCTGGAGTGATAGTTGCTATTTAAATGCAATGTCTCAGATTACACACTGATGGAGAGACCACTGGGGACTCTCTCTTTGTATAGTGACCAAGGCCTAAATTTTGGACCTGCTGCAGAAGGGATGGTGGGGGGTAAAAAGCAGTATCAAGAAACTTGATGGCATGCTGAAGTGGACAGTGCTCTGTACTAGTTGTAGGCCTGGAGTCCTCCTGTGGTGGTACAGCGATGCAGCCAGCACAACCCTGAGTAGCACAGACTGTCAGCCACCAAAATGGCCAGAGCACGCTTCATCCTTCACAAAATAACTACAGAAACAGTAATTGCCACTCTTAATAGGGAGCGCTGGGGTGAGAGGTTTGCACTTTTCACCAGCCCCAAGAAGATAACATCTTCATCCTGTCCAGATCCATGGGCACGTTTCATCCTGCCTCCCAGCACGGTGAGTCAGCTTCACAGCGCTGTCCCCTTCATGCCAGGACAAGAAGAGGGCTGTGAGTGAATAGCTGAAAACTCAGGGAATTGGGAGGGAAACGTATTTCCTGGCTGTAAGGCATTGGCTGGAGAAGAGAGTACGTTAGTGGAGCTGGGAGGTGAGCTAAGAGCTGGTGAGGGCCATCGGTTGATCTTGATTGAGATCTAATGCAACAGAGAAGTGGCAAACCAAGTCATTAATCAGTGCTGAGCCTGGGGTCAAACAGTTTTCCAAACTTGCTCTATGGGACAAGTCCCTGCAACACCAAAGTCACCTGGGAGAAGAAAAGTCCCAGAATGCTCTTCAATTTATTCCCGCCAGCATATAGATTGTTAATTAAAGCCTTTCCATAGAAACATCTTTATTTTAGCCTTGCCTGGGGGATCCTGGTTTATTCCCCTTTAAAACAACAGCAGTGTGTAAGCCAAAGGAAAGCTGTTTGTAGTTACCTCTCCTGTTCCCATACCAAGGAGGAACCTCTCCAGAAGCCTGACATGAAGTTGGGAAAATCTGTATTTGGGGAAGCACGGAGCTGAGGCGAGTGTGCTGTGGGGGCAGCGCTTTGTCGGGGCGCTGGTTCCTTTATGGAGCTCGTTGGAGTTGAGCTGTGTGTGGCACCGGGAGCGGGGCGGGTCCCACACGAGTGCATTAACCTTCATGGGAGCAGCCTGCCTGCATGCTGCCTGCACCCGCGCTGCCCTGAGGCACCGCTTGCAGACAGACCCTGGGAGTTGGAGAAATGCAAGCGGTTGTGAAACAAGGTTGGACTGGCATTGATGTACCAACTGCCAGCCTGGATGTGACTGTACAGGTGTGGAAGGGATTGCCCGGAGCGGGAGGAAGTGTTGGCTGTGTCGGAGCGCAGGTCTGTGTAAGCTGTTACCACAATAATGGAAATCGATAAGCGAGGGCATTGTAATCATCTTTCCAGTAGCTTTTCTTCAGCAAAGCCTGGTTCACACCATAACTCCAGCACCCTGCTGCTTGGGATCCCATCCCAGGGAGTCCCCAGAGGGCTCTGGGTCAGCAGAACTTTGCACGTTGGCACTTAGGAGAGCCTTGCCCACACATTCCACCTTTCTTTGCTCAGATTAGAATCCATTCAACCGCAAAGAGCTTAACCTGGATCACCACGGTTATTTACAGGGAGAACACTGCTGCAAGCCAACCATCATTATGTCTTCCTGGGAGATTGTGAGCTCTAGGTGTATGTCTATAAACTGCAATGACCTGCAGAACAAGGAAGAAATGGTTTAATAAACATTTCCAAAGCTCTGGGCGTTCTTTCATAGAAAAGCTTACACAAAGAGCCTCCTGTGCTTGTGCTGGAAGTGGGCCATGGTCTAAAGTGCTTTTCAGGAGCACAGTGAGCCCATGCCTCTGTGCTAAGGAGGGACTGTTGCTGCATCTGCCACCTAGAAGTGGGATACCTGGCATAGCAGAAGGGTTGCATCTGTCAGGACCTGTGAAGTGAATGTTTTTGGGGTTGTGCACAGTCACAGGCAGGCAGTGAGTCTAGCCAGCTGACCTTCATGCTCGGTCCTCTTCCAAAGCATTGTTCCCAATTTGTCCTGCATGCTTCAAGGCCACAGAATTCCTTGTGGCTGGGCATCACACTGAGTTATCACCCACTTTGTTTCCTTTGGAGACCACAGGGTTGCTGGCCTTTGCTGGTGATTAATTTCCTGTTTGTTGCAGCAATCAAAATAACTTTTACTGACACTTTTGTAGGTTTGGATGAACCAGTGCTAAGAGCAGGAGGGAACTACATCAGAGCAGCTCTTGAATTTCACTCTGTCGTTATCTCACTCCAAGCAGGCCTGGAGAGCACTGGGAGGCGATGCCGTGTCCACTAAGCTGCTGGAACTAAACCTGAGGTATATGAGGCTACAGGAAAAGCAGCAGCCTGCTCCCCATACAAAAAGGGTCTGTAGCATCACTCATTGCTGAAGGCTCTGAAAAGTGTCTTGGGTGTTCTGGTTCCACTGGAGAGCAGTATGTTTCTACATTTCTCATCCATGGTCCTGGGAAAGGAACAATGCTTCTGCTAGTATGCGAGAGTGTGGTCATTTCTGGTAGCATATCCATTGTCCCCAGAGGTCTTCTGTTACTTTTTTGCCTGGAGAAGAACCCTTTTGGAAGAGATCCTTCTGCTCAGTTGGGAATGTTGCATATTGTATCAGGTTTCCCACAAAAATCAAAGCTGTAACTCAGATTAATTAAAACAAGACTGTTTGGAAGGGCACGTGTAAGGGTCCATTTCCCCTTCCAAGGTATTTCAATGGAAGTTGGATGTCTGATTAGACTTATCCTGGCTTTCTTTTTTTCTCTTAATGATTCTGCTTCTGTGAATAGCTGGCAATGCTGCATTTCCGTCAGGATGCAGCAGATTTTTTAGCTTACAGATTTCAAGACAAAATGCCTTCCTTCTGGAATGAAGGTGCCATATGGCTTGAAATGCATAATTGATCACTGCTCAAAATAGGAGCTTCGTAGAAAGGCACCTAGAAGTCCAATGTGTGTGTGCAGAGGACTCGATAGACCTTGATGCAGATTTTCGTTTCCTGGAACTGATGATGGTACAGGGACAGGTTTTTATGGTTCTTCCTAGAGGTTCTGATGCTTGTGCTCTCTCTCTAGCACTGCACAGACTGTTTCACCACTGGATTGTTTATTCCCATTATTCCAGGAGATGATGGGACTTTGCATTAGCAGACGTATCAGTCTTATGCTTACTGATTCCTGCTGGCTTGGCTGGATGAAAAACACCCCAGACAAGCCTCACTATGTAGCCCAACAAAGGCCACAGTTATCTCTGTGAGTGTAAAACAGTTCACGTGCATCAAATCTGGTGCACCTGGCCAAATCTGGCTGAATCCAGCCCATACTGTCCCATGCTTCCCCACCTCCAGTGGGACATGTGGCTCCCTGCACAAGCCATCT